AGACTGCCGACAGTTAAACAGGGCGCGCGCAGCTCTTAAAGGGGCCATACCTTATTTCCACTCGTTACAGCGTCCATCCTACTGAACAGGTACCGGTGTACAGGGGGAGGGGATCCGGCCGTGAGTGCGAGCCATCTCTGCGTGAGTGCTATTCACGACAGTACAAGTACTCCACAGCGACTCTAGGGGTCGCTGTTTGACAAAAACAGAATTCCTACTTAGTGCTGCTTTAAGCAATGAGAACAGTCGGGAAAATGGCTTATGTAAAGGTGTTCTGAGTGGTTTTTAGCATGTTGCTATGAAGTTCCTCGGGTCTTATGGGTGGTTGCTTACTGACTCAAGTCAAAATAACTTATCCAAATGTCATATTTTGGTCCCTACATGTGTCTCAGGTCTCTCCTTCAATGTAACTTAATTATTTATATAAATTAGAAATGCAATCCTCTCCTGAACAACTCACATGATTTGAGTTATCATTCATGTCTGCAGAACAAGCGGTTCAAGACATACTACACGCTGAAGTGCAATACTTGTGGTTAGAGATTTTTTACACCAAGTATCCCTATTACTATATGAACACCACTAATAAACCATGACAAAGTGATCAGGACCCTGACGCAAGCTTGTGTCCTCCTATAGGGGTTCATTTGGTAATATTGACCATCTGACTGTGCATTATTCCACTTTTACATGACTTCTTAAAATAAGTCAATCAATATTTAATGTTTATTCATTTATTATTTTATTCGTAGGAGGCTTGACTGCTGATTGAAATTGACTGACAAATCAGAATCAAGTATTCAAGAGAGTTGCGTATAAGCAACAACAGAAGACTGCAGTACTTTGCAGCACACTAACAGTCCAGTGCCAAGTCCACTCAACACCTCTGGCTCTATTAAACACTGCACTATAATTCAGGCTGCACCAAACCAAATAAAATGACACGAATCAGCCTCACTCCTGCACCTTTGCCACCCTAACTCAAGATGGCCAGGAAGAGTGTGACTTGCTTATCTCCTCATGCTTATTTGCATAGACAATCCCCACTCGTATGAACGGCATCTGCAGCGCTCAGAGTTCCCTACGAGCGATCCGCCTTGCATCACAATCAGCCCTAACAAGGTGATTACTCTCCATCAATAGGCTACTCACTAATATACACTTGTCATTGTTAGGCAAAGCAAAAACATCTGCAGTCCAGAGGTCGCACTGCTTCACCCAGTTATTAATACAGCACTGTCAGGCCATGCAGTCTGTTGTACTCTGTTATACCAACGTTGGTAGCAATAAACTGGACTGGTTCCAGTAAATAATCTAGCTATGTCTGATGCATAATGCTCACAAAACTCGAACATTGGCTGAATTCTAGTAACATACTTGCGATACTACTATTTCTGTCATATGTTTATGCAATAAATATTAAGAGTAAAATAGTATTTCTATTAAGGAGTGGGTGGGTACTAAAGTGTTCTTTTGGTGCAATTTACTTGTTCCAATTCTGTGATTGGTGGACATTTCACTGTAGTATCATGAGTAATGTAGTTTTTCACCAGGAATTCCTCTGCTGAAAATACACATATACCACATGTACCATCAATTAATAACCTTTTAACTCACAGTGGGTCTGTTTTCAATGGTTTATTGTTAAGTGATCATTAAAATCAATTCCCCTATAAAGAAAATGAATGGGATTTTTACTTCCGGAACCTGACTGGTGCACTCTAGAGACACTTCACTATCCCATGAGTCCAGGGAAGAGGATTTGTAAAGGGTAGTGAAGCAAAACAACTGAATGCAATACGTCCAGATTTCATTCATACTACACCTACAGGTGAAACTCGAAAAATTAGAATATCTTGCAAAAGTTCATTTATTTCAGTAATTCAACTTAAAATGTGAAACTAATATATTATATAGACTCATTACATGCAAAGTGAGATATTTCAAGCCTTTATTTGTTATAACTTTGATGATTATGGCTTACAGCTTATGGAAACCTTTTCACAATATTCTAATTTTGAATTTGGGGTTTTCATTAGCTGTAAGCCAAATAAAAGTCGCTGTTTGGATTTAAAAGGCAAATGCTTAAGACTTTATGATTGGATCTATGATTGGTGCATACATTTTGGGTCAAAATCTTGTATTGACAATCCAAGAGTCAATGACTCTAAAGTCTCCTTCAGCACATCCCAAAGACTTTCACTGAATTTAAGGTCTGGACTCAGAGGTGCCAATTCATGTGTGAAAATGATTCGTCATTCTCCCTCACAACCATTCTTACACAATTTGAGCCTGATGAATCTTGACATTGTCATCCTGGAATATGACCATCATGTGTCTTCCTACATGGTTGTTTAAGACATGAAAACTACACACTCCATCAATTAGAGTTTGCCAAACATATACCATGCTAGCATTTGCCTATTTAAATCCGAAGAGGGACTTTTTTTTATGGCCGGACAGAACATTTTTTTTTTAACAATTGCAAAGTACTCATTCAAAATAAGTACCTACTAATGTGATTTTGTATGCAGCCTAAGAGGGGTTTTTTTATGCTTGTTTTTTGAGCCATTCAGTAGTTACCTTATGTTAGCTAACTAAGTGAGACTTAGTCAGATTGTGAATGACAAGTCAGATTCGGTTTGCCCACTGTGCACTAACCACCAGGACCCTTTATTTTTTAAAAACCGTGTCATGATTTATATATCAATAGATATTCAGGTGTTTACAGGACAGCAGTCTTTGAAACAAGTTTGGCTCTGGTGTCATTTCCACCACTGCTGAGCACATATCTCAGCGCTGTCCAGCAGGGGGAATCCTCTTTCTACACCCGACGCCTCTCAGAGACATATGCAGGAGGAGGAGGAGGTCGATAAGCTCCCATGGTAATGCCGGGGAGTTGTTTTATTGTGTAGTGCAGGGAGGTGACAGCTCCGGGCTGCAGTGCAGAGAGCAGGCACTGACTGATAGCCCCAGTGAGGCAGAATGAAGGGCTGAACCCCAGCCGTGGATCACTGTGGCTGGGGAGTTTCATTAACCAGGGGGTGATAATGATAATGCAGCAAACCTACTGCTGTGCTGCACCTCCTGAAATGAAAAACACTCCATATACACACAAACATTTAATCATACAACCATGGTCACGTGCCATTACATGGAGTCTCATGCTTGGAGAGCCATCTGAGAGCGTTCATGTTAATGGCTATTCAAAGCCGTGACGGCCAAAACAGACTGAAAAATTCCATTTCATGCTTTTGAGAACAAAAATGATGTCTGGCAAACATACCGTACCACTACCAATGAAATATTTCGATATACACTGCAGTTCAAAAGTTGTTTTTTTAAAAGAAATTAATACTTTTATTTAGCAAGGATGCATTAAATTGATCAAAAAAGACAGTCAAGACTTTTACATTGTTGTCTTTTTTCAAATAAATGCTGTTCTTTCGAACTTCCTATTCATAAAAAAAGGATTTCTGAAGGATCTTGTGCAATGAAGAGTAGTGAACGTACACGGGAACGAACACATCACTATATTTCTCATTTAAATAATTCCCGCCAAAGGCAAATCCCCCCCCCCCCCCCCCCCCAAAAAAGGGAGTGTGGCCTGGTTGAGTTGCGTTAGTAGTGCGTTTAAACTCGCAGATATGTTAAGAGAGTGACATTTCCCAAACATGCTCGAAGAGGTTGACCAATCACAAGCCACTGTTCCAGGCGACCAATCAGAGCACATTGCACTTTTCGGAAGGAGGGGCTTAATAGAGACCGGAACTAAACAGAGCGTTACTGACAGACTAGGAAGAGAAGTGCTACAACAGTGTACAATATCTGAATTTCTTTTCTTTTTTTTGAACATTCAACTACGAAAACCTAGTCTAGTAGCAAAATCAAGACTTTGAAAAAGGGCATAATTGGTCCCCTTTAAAATATATTAATACTGAAAAGTTATTCACAATATTAAGATTTTTTTACTGTAAAATGAATCAAGTACATGCAGCATTGCTGAACATAAGAGACTTTAAAGTCTAACCAACTTTTGAATGACAGTTTTATAAAAATGTATTTGTCCAAATAAAGAGCTATTTTTCAATTAAGTCAATAGTCAAAGACCTCCAGACTGGAGTAGTTATCTACCAGAATTGGCTAACTGGTCCATGCCAACCAGCCAAACCCTTACTGCATGGGTTGTGAACTTATTAGATGGAAATCTTTAGCATTTATACCAAACAGTTGGATTTGCAGTTTGCATCATTTGCCTTTGGCGCCTGAATGGTGGAAGGACTGCTATCAGCGAGGGCTGTGTAGTCTGTCTCTGTGGATTTACCTGTATAGGGCTAAGGGAACCAGAGACTAATCTCACTGCACCCATTACATGCAGCCCAGAGGCAAACTGAGGATTACAACGGAGGGATTCAGGATTTATTCGGAGCTTTCTGAGCTACTTGAAAGATTTCACCATGCCAACTCACATTACTCTATGAATGGAAGGAGCATTAATGTTTCAACTTCAACTCACATTATGTTGGGTTCAGTCTCAGCATGCTAAAGTCAGGAGAAAATATCAATCCGGCTCCCCCAAAAATGACGACTCCCTTCTGAAAGACCCACTTATTAAAACGTTTTAACAATGTTACAAAAGATTTCTATTTCAAATAAATGCTGTTCTTTTGAACCTTCAATTAAAAGAATCCTGAAAAGAATGTATCACGGTTTCCACAGAAATATTAAGGAGGACAACTGTTTCCAACATTGATAATAACAAGAAATGTTTCTTGAGCAAATCCGCATATTAGAATGATTTCTGAAGGATCCTGTGGCATTGAAGACTGGAGTAATGACGCTCAAAATTCAGATTTGCATCACAGGAATAAATTACATTATAAAATGTATTCAAATAGAGCAATTACGTTACTGTTTTTACTGTATTTTTGATTAAATAAATGTGCAATATTGCATCTGCAGGGCTTGTAGATACAGTGTGCTTGTACTGTAGGGTTTACCTTAAGATGCCTTCTCCTCCTATGAAAGCGCAGCAGCTCCTTGTGTTGGCGTGCAATGAAGTTGACGGCCGCATACTCCAGCAGAGCAGAGAACACAAAGAGAAGGCACACTGCCATCCAAATGTCAATGGCTTTCACATACGAGACCTGCAGCAAGACAGAAATCAACAGGATTTGCAACGAAGCCCAACTCTGAGTCACCGCCTGGCTCACTCACTGAGTCACTCTTGGCTCAAGTGCTCAGAACTTTCTAGTCGAGAAAGTCGTAAAATATGCCTATTATAGGTAAGAATACCTTTCATTTAAAATCTGGAGAGCTAAAAGGACTGTTCTACCAAGCCTGAGATAGGGGATCAAAGTGTTAATGAATAAAATATGTCAATTTTAAGAATTTAGGCTTAGCAGTGAGTCTTTATGCATTTTTTTTTTCTCAGAGCATGATGGCTGTTAGACAGTGGCCCGGTCTCTATGCATAGAGACGACTGAAGTGCGCTTTGGGAGACGCGCTGCGAGCTTCTTCTTTGGCCTGGAAAAGAGCTGGGCTGCCGGCCCGACCACTTGGCTGAGACTCACTTTATTTGACAAGCCAGTGACCAAAGTGGTTGTGGAGTTTAGGTGGCATTACAGAGTGCACGGTTCACAAAGCATTGTTGAAATGACGGGAGCGCGCTGGGGTGAGACAGCGCTGATGAAATATTCCGCTCTGATCTTCACCGCTAATCTCATATAGCTTTATTGGAACGGTTCTCTTTCGTTAATTGAAACCTTTACAATTACTTCCATCAGTAACACCCACTACTATCAAAACCGAATAGTCTTTATGAGCTTAAGCCAAGAGACAAAGCTGTGTTTTTAGATAAATGCAGCTGGACACAGGGGAGGTACAGCCATCCAAGGACATGGCTTGAGCACTGACATTAAAAAAAACATGGCGTTTTTCAACACCTGCATGATCAGTATTGCAGTGAGAAGACTCAAAATCATCTGGCAAATGTCAAAACTGGGAATAATCTCCCAAAACATTCATAAGAAACAAATTCAATTCATAAATCCAGCTAGAGGTTTTCATGTCAAGCATGGCAACCTATTTAAACCTGAACGGTATGTGTGCCAAGTCATGGTGCATGTAAATGATGATCAGCATCTCAAACTACAGCAATATCCTGTCTCATCTTGACGCTGCATGTAGGATCTGAAAATATATGAAGTACTACAGCAGGCTGAGTAAGTAAAACAGGTACAGAGAAATGATGGGTACAATTTCTGTCCTGTTATAAAGTAATTATGTCAACAATCCCCAAAAACCACACACACAGAAAAAAGGACATCAGAATTACAACTGAAATATATATATATATATATATATATATATATATATATATATACACACATATTAAAAATCGCAACCTTGTTTTGGTTTTATTTCGATTAATCGTGCAGCCTTACTTATTTTTCTCAGTGTGGCACACATGTGATACATGTGACACTGGCATTTTTATAATTTTCCCCCAGTATAGACCCCTTTTCAGTTGGTAAACATGGTGACGGTTTTTGTGGGCGGAGCTTAGGTGGAGGCAGAACGATCCCTTTGGCCGCTTCACTAACGTTAATTTGCAAGTTAGCTTGTTTGTTTTTTTAACAATGACTGGAGAAAATCCGATTTTATCTTAATGTGCAAGGTCACTAAGTGTCCAGGACCGCGATTGTTATTTGCAAAAGTTAATTTTAACGGACGGAACCAGATTGGCTGACCCGTACACGCTCACTCAATGCAAGGACGATCTGACAGGATTAACGTAACGCTACACTCCGGTTGAGTGGCCTGACTTCTACACCAATCCGATAGAGAAACCGAGCGTAAAGAGAAACTGAGGGCATATAAATCTATAACTATGGGCTGAATGGTCATGTACAAGACTTGTGTGGTACGATCCGCAGTTCTGCCGAGCCAGCGGAAAGACGACGACAATGTAAAGAGTGACATACGGTGCAATTTTAATTATGTGAATATTTTCTAGAAATAAAAATTCCAGATACAGCATATTCATTTTTCATTGATACTTGCACCCAACAACACAACAAGATGACATTTAATAATAATAATAATAATAATTTAATAAATAATTATGTAGCCAAATCTGTGCTGGTTTGTATCGGCCGCCTCCAGTTGTCCGCTTGTTTTGCCTCCAGTTAGCGCCGTGGCGCAACTCTGAAGTCGGCGCAAAAGGGGTCTATTACAGACTAGGTTTAAGCCTATCCCAGACTAAAATGCATGTTGAAGCTGGTTTTGCTAAAAGTAGCCTAACTTGCACTGACATATCTTAAAGATATATCAGTGCCATTGTTTTGTCTCAAGATGCACACCAGTAATGTTTTCTTCCAATGCATGTTTATGAAAGCTGCTTAAATATCCTAATCGAACTAAAGCCTAATCCTGGCTTTATCTAAGACCTGTCTGTGGAACCAGGCCTTTAAGTCTTAAAATAATTTTCTATGCGGTTTGAGTTTGATCAGGATGATGTGTATATAGACAAGCAGTGGACAGGGATTGAGCCTACTACAGCTCATGACATATTGCAGTGGTATACATGAAATAGATTAAAATATGTTTGTGGACAGAGTATACTCTACACCATCAGGGCTTTGTATTGTTGAGATGATTTATGCTGGAGACCCAACTGACCTTGGGAAGAGAAGCTCTAGATCCTGAGCTCTGGGTGGTCATGGTCAGCACAGTTGTGATGCCCAAGCCTACACGGGCAGGAGCAGCATCCATGTTGATCCAGAAGGACACCCAAGACAAAATGACAATCAGGAGACTGGGAATGTACATCTGGATCAGATAATAGCCCATCTGTCTCTCCAGGTGGAAACGAGCCTCTATGCAGGTAAACTTCCCTGAAACACAAATAGTATGTGGCTTTCATTGTCTTCTCATGTTCTATGTGATTCTCCAGTTTTTTGTCTTTGCAGGTTTAAGACAGCCCTTTTAAATAGGGTTGCGAAGGAATAACTGGTTCTTATTTAGAAACAGTTCCATAAAAAATAAATTAAAAAAAATACCAGAACCAAATGATGTTTGATTCAATTAACAGTTTACCAAACTAAAATACAGATACTGAATCAGAACAAAATGGAGAGCGTGACCAGTGTAGTCCAATTACAGAATGAATGACTCTAATGAACCTGTTCTTTTTAGTGAATCTGATTCCTGAACAAATGACTCTGACGAGTTGGATCTTCTTAGCGAATAAAACATATGCAGCTTACAGACTTCAATCAGTGTGTATATACTGACTGCTTTTTGCCATCTGCCATATGACAGATACACAATATGTGTTTTGTCAATAGTACTTTCAAAAAAATAAATATATGTTATAACATTTTAGTTTGTTTAGTAGTTTGTTTAAAATCCTAAAAAAAGAGTCTATGTAAACACATTTTGGAAGAATTGTTTTAATGATCAAATTTAATAGTAATAGTTATAAAAAAAAAAATGTATATATATATATCATTAAGTATCCGTAACTGCTAAAAGGAATCTGGGAACCAGAATAGTCAAATCCCATTCCTAGTTTACAGGCCCATGACAATTCCATGTGTGTTCCCACACTATAACTAGACAGCAGAGCTGAAAATGTCAGGGTCAAGGTTCATTTAACTTCCACCATTTACTCAGCTGAACTGGAATAGCCAAGCTTTTGCAGTTGTTACGGAGTTGATGCAGCATAAACCTCTAGATTATTCCCTTACTCTTGGGAATATTATGTATTGACTACACTGTTGCATTTATGAATATAGATAAAGACATAAAGGGAAAGTCTAGTACTAAAAGCAAACAGAGGTATCGACTCAAACAGAGAGAGCAAACACTTTCTTTGGACTGCAATCTTTGTTGATCGTAAACAGCCAAGCGAAAAACAGCAGGGATGCAACTGACCAGCACTAAAATTAAAACTACACAAGTGCCTATTTTTTCCCAAGGGACATGGAGGATGCATTCGGATGAGGAAGACAGGCTGGACTGCAGAGCTTAGGCCTGCTCTGCAAATCAAAAAAGATTGCCACTAATATATCTGAGAAAAACGACACTTTAATTTTGACTGGGGAGCAGCAGAGCTCTTGTACTGAATGTCCAGTGCTCGCGCTGGAGGAACACGACTATGCAGAGAGAGAGAGAGAGAGAGAGAGGAGAGAGAGAGAGGAGAGAGGAGAGAGAGAGAGAGAGAGAGAGAGAGAGAGAGAGAGAGAGAGAGAGAGAGAGAGAGAGAGAGAGAGAGAGAGAGAGAGAGAGAGAGATAAACTCTTGTACTCACACATATGCAAAAACAAACCACTGAAAAAACATACACTTTTGTTTTTTTTTCCGTTTTTTTCCTGTTTATCCACACTTGTTCAATACAAAATCTGTTCTACTTTGTTAAAAAAAAATATTTTTCATGCTCATAGAAATGCTTTGGCAATACAATGTACAATTTGTCATGCCAATAAAGCTCATTTGAATTTGAATTTGAGAGAGAGAGAGAGAGAGAGAGAGAGAGAGAGAGAGAGAGAGAGAGAGAGAGAGAGAGAGAGAGAGAGAGAGAGAGAGAGAGAGAGAGAGAGAGAGAGAGAGAGAGAGAGAGAGAGTGAGAACTGAGACGGTGAGTGATGATTAGAGCGTTAGGGCATCATCAGGGTATTTGATCCGCACAAACACAGAGGTGATAGGTGAAGTGCAAAGTAAGCACACTGAAGAATTATGAGATGCACCTCAGACCGGACTGAGAGAGAGAGAGAGAGAGAGAGAGAGAGAGAGAGAGAGAGAGAGAGAGAGAGAGAGAGAGAGAGAGAGAGAGAGAGAGAGAGAGAGAGAGAGATAGAGAGAGAGAGAGAGAATTGAGCAAATATTGAACCTTTTCAAAGTATTTAAATCTGACTGATATTAGTTAGTTCTGCATTACCTCAAGGTAAAAAATGCAAACACAGACAAGATAATTATCTAGATCAACTATACTTAATACAAAATCAATATGAGGGGCCTGCATGAGCACAAATGTCTGTGTAAACTTTTGTATATAAATTGTTTTTAAATTTCATTTTATAGACCCCATTTGAATATTTTCACAAATACAATACATATACACAAAAAAGGAAAATACATATTTTCAAAGAAACAAACATCTAAAAGAATGCATAAATTAAAGCTCTCTATACATTTATATACACTTTCCCCTACCATTTTGAAATCTCTTTAATGACATGAAAATTCTTGCAGAATTGATATCTCAGGCTGTAGTCTATAATGGCTTGTAATAATACACAATGTAAATAAAGTACTTGTCTTGCAATAAATTTAAAGCAATAAATTGTGTTTGAATAGTTAAATGTTAAATAGTTAAATAAAATGTTACACTTTCCGCTTGTGTTTCATGAATGAGGCTCAATGCTATGAGTATTTGGCCAGTGTGTTATAACAGAACGAGATAATAATGGAAATGTGCTCTATGGTGAGATCAGCATGAGGTGCTCGGAAGCCTCGGAAAACCATGTGGAAAAAAATTACAATTTATTTTAAAATAAAATGTAATGTTAATCTAATAACATTTTAAGGGGTCTTTAAAGGGATCTTTTGACATATAAGAAGTCATTGTACTATAAACATATCCCGTAAATTTCAGAACTCAAGACTTCCTTGTTAGTCCAATTTATTGAAAACCAGCCGTTTTGGATCATAGTGTGATGAAAGACCGCCTCTCAGAAGAAGATCAACGCCTACTTCGTTGCCTATTTAACCCTGCCTACCAAAGTGTATTTCGCTTAATTTTACTGCAGATTCGTTTTTACACAAGACACCGCTCGGCGCAGTCTTTTCAGAGAGACCGAAAATAAAAGATGATGCAGTGACGACCATATTGATTCCGACAGTAATGTCACAACACAAGTGTGAGTAACAGTGTTTTCACCATGTGTTTCACTATTGTTTTGTCTGTTACAGAGCATTTATTCTGTGGTTTTAAACGCGACTGCAAATGACAATGCATAGCCTACATTTTTCACTTTATCGAAAATGATGAAGGATAAATAGTCTATAAGAATGACAGTGTGACAAACGATGGTACATTCATTCATAATTCGTTTACATGAAACACCGTGAATGGATGCATTCGGATGATCCACCGTTTCAGTTATCCACTGTTATCGTTATCCTGTCAACTATAACTGGTAACTTCAAGTACTTAAACTTTATTTTGTATAAACATTATAAAAAAATATATTAAAGAATTCATGTAGTTCATGACCCCTTTAACGTAACTGTTTATAATAACCTTTTTAAAGTTCTCTTAGTCCTCAAACCTATTACGATATCCGATAAATGTGACCTTTAATAAAACCTAATGCTTAAGAAAAAATCAATTAATTATATCCAATAAGACTGTTTCGAACAAAACAAAAACACAAACTCTCATTTGCTCAATGATAAAAAATCAAGAAAAAGGCAGAAAATCTGCTCTGACTGTCCCTGCTGTTTTGGCTTGCTTCTATTTTCGATCTGAACTAGTCTGGCCTTCAGCAATTTTCCAGTTTATCTGGAGTGTAACAAATCCTGACCGTCAACGTTGACTGAACAGATGGTATTTAACCCAATCAAAAGTTCATGAAGAAGATTCAAAGCATAGCTGTGGTCCACGACCACAACCTTTCACTGAACCCATTTTGGTGCCAAGTGCTTCATAACAACTGATCCAACAATAGTTTGCGATTGTGTCCGGTCACATCTAGACCAGTGTCAGCTCTGAACAAACACTAGAGCTTCACATGCAGTTGAATATCTCACGATGAATGACACTCACCTGTATTATAGTGCTTGGTACAGTAGCGCAGATCCTTCTCTTCCTTCAGTATAAACTGAGGTAACGTCAGTCCGTCCGCTACCTGCACGGCTCCTTTCTCGTCCCACTCAAATATAAGATCATTCATCGTGTAGCCAACTAGTGGAGGAAAGATGAAACGATAGTGTTGTGATGACAGCGAAAAAAAGAGTTTCATTTGGTCTGAAATTGGCATCTATTTTAGCGAATCGGCCACCTCACACTTCTAAAAGAAACGATCTAAACTTGAAAACCAATAATATATAGTATATAATAGGGGTGTAACGATACCCTTATGTGACGATTAGATATATATCACGATACTGAACTCACGATACGATATTATTGCGATACTCACAGACATATGATAAAAAGGTTAACAAAAATGTTACTGTTGCTTTAAATGTTAAATTTGGTATTACATAGGGGGTGTAAATGAATAGGATTGGACTTGGTGCTGGACGATGCAACGGACAAGGGTGACACCAGAATAAAAATATTCAATATTCAAGCTAAAAATACAGAATTATTTTAGACAAATATGCGTGCACTCTGTCACTGACTAGATATATGTAAAATAATGTAGGCCACTTTTTACTGGTAACGTAAGACATTTGGTATTATCAGGACAAATATTCCCCCATTGCATTATTATATTCAACATTATAGTAGCCTACTTTAATGTAGTGCTCTGAAAACGTGAATTTATTTCTCACACAGTAATTTTCATTTTTTGTTGAACTATACACAATACAGATTGCCACTATCCATGATACATGTTGTTGCATTTTTGAATTGCGATATATTGTGACACGGTATATTGTTACACCCCTAGTATATAAAGTCAAAATGTGAAACAAAAAGCACCCACTATAATCAAAACTAGTGCAATTGTCTGCATTGATTTTAACGGGAGAGATTTGTTCAAATGTTACATAACCACCAAACCTGCGTCACTATCCGTCACCCACAAATAATTTGCTCATAATTTTCTAAATGCTTTAGTCAAACAAAGTTTCCCCTGCAGAAATGCGCTATAATTTGGCAAATTTGAGAATCAATGGTAAATAACAGAAATCTGTAATGGCAGGAAGGGCCGGAGTTGGCTTGTGCTTGAAGCGTCTCTCTGCTGACTGCTGAATCTACTTGAAGGCGGCCTTAAATCACTACGCTCTTCATCTGCTGGTGCCAGCCAGTACAACATCCATCTCTGCACCACTGAATAAATCCTCTCCATCTGGCTGAAAGGATCAGGGCATACTTACAGCTCTCCAGCTGCATTATACAGGTCTGCACATCCATAGGGAAATTCTTCAGGTCCATGGGGCAGGCCAGAATCAGTGTTATTCTGAGAACAACAACACCCGCGATCAGCAACAAACTCCACAACAGATCCAATTAGACAGCTCTTATTTTCTTCCTTTTCCACTGGTCAAACCAGGTTCAATTTAAAAGGAACAGTTCACCCGCATCGGTATTATTATTTTAATATCATTATATACTTTAATTGCATTTATTAATATTCTGAATTAGCTTTGATTTTTTTTCTTTAATATTTATTCCAGTTTTAGTCGTTTTAGTATTTAAACTTATTTCAGTTAGGTGTCAAGGCAACATTTCTAATTTTCATTTAAAAGAAAAGGCTCCATTGACTTCCATAGTATTTCTTTTCCATACTATGGAAGTCAATGGGGTCCATCAACTGGTCAGTTGCCGGCATTCTTCAAAATATCTTCTTTTGTGTCCAGCAGAAGAAAGAAATTCATACAGGTTTGGAACAACTTTGTGAGGGCGAGCAAATAATGACAGAACTGTCATTTTTGGGAGCACTATCCCTTTAAGTTTTTGATTCTTCATCTAACATTTATATTGGATTCGATTTCAGATTTATTTTAAATGATGCAAACTTTTAGTTAACAATAACACAGCACCCAATAATTACAATTCAGTCATTATTTGCTCACTGTCATCAGTTGTTTTTCACCAATAATTTCCACCGCCACTGCAGCTCTCAAATGAAATATGTCGCAGTTCGTTTTGGTTTTACGAGACACCTGGTTATGAGACACTGGAGAACCAATAATGTTTGATGTTATTGATGTCCAACCTGAAGCACAGGTGCCACATTTGATTTGAGAGCTGCATCAGGGGTGACGATTATCAGTGAATAACTTAAATTTCATTCTGTTCCTCACTGTTCCTCCAGAAGAATTAAAATATAGTGCAGAAGTTGTACTACAGACCATTCCTATTGTGCCTTTTAAAGCGTGTGGTCACTATGAATAGTTATTGTATGGAAATAACAGCATAGAGAATTGGAATGACATAAGGATGAGATTTTTTTTTTCATTTTTAGGTGGCTATTCCTTTAAGAAATGCAACCAAACTCTATTAAATCTATGATTATTAACTCTGCCTCATATGATCCTAAAGCTAGATAAAGAATCAGCCCAGTGCAGAGGCTGTATTTACGTCACTATCAAAGGATAGTGGTTATTTACCTGAAATGTTCAATTTAACTGTGCACTGTGGCTGGTGCAATTTAGAGAGAGTTCACAGCTAAGACTGAACTGATCTGAAAGGTTCATTTGATGGTGTCAAGTTAAGAGACGAGGCTTCCCAATCCACACAGCTATTCCCCACAACCCCAGTCTTCTTTAATGCTACAATGATAAGACAAAGTGAATTTGGAAATTGGAAATGTGCAAGGAAGGATTTATTATATATTTTTGCTTTAAGCTATTTCATTTTTTAATAATAAAGTACCACACACAATTAAGCAAACATGCTGTGCAGTCTAAACAGTGTAGAATTTCATCAAGATACACAACCGTTCAAAAGTTTGGGGTCGGTGAGTTTAAAAAAAAATGTTTTTAAAAGAGTCTCTTCATGCAGACCAAATCTGCATTTATTTGATCAAAAACACAGTAGAAACAGTAAAATTGTGAAATATTATTACAATTTAAAGTAGCCGTTTTATATTTTAATATATCTTATAATGTAATTTATTCTTGTAATGCAAAGCTTAGTTTTCAGCATCTTCAGTGTCATATGATCCTTCAGAAATCATTGTAATATAATTATTTGATGCTCAAGAAACATTTGTTATTATTATCAATGTTATAAACAGTTGTGCTGCTTAATATTTTTGTGTAAACCGTGATACTGATGATTTATTTTAGGACTCTTTGATGAACAGAAAGTTCAAAAGAACAGCATTATTTCTAAAAATCAAAAGAAATCTTTTGTAACATGTCAATTTGTTGCATTCTTATGTTGTATATGTTTTATAAAACTTACCAACTACAATATTTGTTGGCCAAAAGATATTTGTTGATAATTTGGTAACGCTTCCTTTTACAGTCCTGTCACCCATGTACTTACTATGTACTTATTATAGTAATTATAATTACTGGGTAATAACTATAGGTACTAACCCTGAACCTACCCCTAACCCATGTACTTACCGTATATTAGCCAGTACTTTCTAGGTAAGTACACTGTAAGTACACGTAAGTACTGTACTGTAAAAGGAAGCGTTACCGATAATTTTATGTTACCCATTACATTTGTCTAAATAATGATTTTGTTCTTACATTTTTGCTGAAAATTCTATAAAATGCTGTTTAATGGCAGGTTCCATTGCAACAACTTACCCCATATAGTGTGACAACATGGCCCACTACTGAGCCATTTTATCACAAAAGGTCAAAGTGTGTTTAATGAACTGGATGTCTTTTTTTAAAGGGCGCAAGGAAATCAATCCACCCTGGGAAACACGGACAGCAATAAAGCTGGTTTAACAACTAGCCCAGGTTTAAGTGTAAAAACACACCGTATAATGTATTATTGACAGCATTAGATTATATATTGCACTCTCACCTTATACTGTACAAAACATTCCCATTTTTGGAGATCCTCAAAAGCTTATTGTCAGTGGTAACCTCATGGAAATTAGCTCCCTTTTCATTGGCAAAGAACAGATCAGGTTTCCAAATGGAGTCCAACATGGAGGGATCAAGGTCAAGGGAGTCATCGGGATATTCGCTGTAGGCCAGCCGAGGGTCATTCCACTGCTGTCTCAGGAAAATGTTCACTCTGTAATCCTGTGGCACACAAAGACGGCCATGCCAACAGATCAGAGGTGAGCAAGAGACACCAGCACATTTTACAAGCTAACATCAGGTTCAGGAACCAGTGAAGTTTCACAAGGACATGCTTTTTTTTCTTTTTTTTTGCTAGTATGTCTAAACTTAGTCCAGGTAAATTTGGCATCGTCTCACTATATATTTAGCTTGAGATAATTGTTATTCGTGAAGGCAGACCGCCCGGTGACATGGCCGATGCGTAAAAGCAGACACCGTAAAGCAGTGGCATTTCGCCCCAACACACTGCCATAATTGTCAATTCTTCTCCAAAACGGGCATGCAGTTATATCATTTCAGGGAGACCATTAAACTGTCTGGGCATTAATGTACCTTGGGATGACTTGGGATGAGCCGCATGGCACGAAATAAAGTGGATGACCTTTGCAATGGCAATCAGCTACAACATGCAAGGACATTTCAGGGCAATTATCCTAATGTATGGTGACCGGTTCATCCCAAGGATTTCGAAATATTTTGATGGAGGAGAATCATCTGTCCCAGGTTATTAGATTTGCCTCTCGGAGAGCACAGGAAAAGAACAAGTCCCATCGATTTTACTTTGTCAATATTTCTCCTTTATGATAAACAGCCCGCGGTCATTGTAGACGCAAAATGAACCCTTCGAAAACAACTGAGCGATGCATGGCGGCTTCATTACAAGTAGCATTATCTCCCAATTACTCAGGCGTTATGTAAACACATCTGTTCTCTTCGGCAAACGCCTATTACACACATTAAACGTCACAGAAACCACGCATATATATGGCAAAATTAGTGAAACCTTTTGCTCTTGTCTACTGTGATTTTCAGACATCCATTGCTACAACCAAACAGGACGCCTGCAGTCAAACGCTCCCCTTCAAACGTACAGCTAGTTTCCGACAGAATGATTTTGCAAACAAGCGAGGAGTGGGCGCACATTCATCAGCGCTCACACAACTTTTTTTTTTTCCTTTCTGATTTGATTTCTCTAGGCTAAGGAGAGTGATTTATGGCAACAACCCACTCATAATGCGATTCAAGCCCAAGGCCAGATCCTATCCTGACGGTGACATATTAGAAAAAGTTTGCATGACTCTCGCGCGCCCAACTCTGCTAACAAATGATGGACGTTGAAATTTACACGTTCACTCTCTCTTGCTTCCTCAAGAAAATGAAAGAGCCACCGAGATAATTAAATAGCCACTCGCCTCTCCCGTGGGCCCCTAGCCTTATAAAAAGGGTAAATAATTAGGACAGCGAAAGGCCGGGGGGAACGGCGGTCTCAGTAGTGGACGGAGTCGCTCAGATCATTACTGGCTGAAACATTGTTCTTGACTGCCCTATAAGCAATAAAGATTTATCGATATCGCCCGGGTTACCTGCTCCTGCCCCTCCACCTCGCCGCCGCTTGCTCAGTGTGAACACGAGCATGAGCAACTCGGATCAATTCCGCTGGTTATGGAAGAAAGAAAGAGTGGAAAGCACTGCATTTTTTCTGCTTGAGGAGATTTTGCAAGCTGCTGAAGTTTTGGACCTGCTCAGCTGGTGCCAAACAGGAAATCTTGGCATTACAAGATATTATTTCGGAAAAGAAAAAGAAAAAAAAAGTGTAACCTTCACCTGGCTAACAGTTGAAAATGTCTTTCGATTGCATTTGCCTCCATGTATCAATATACATTGAAAACACATTCAAAACTATATTAACCTAGAGGTACTTATTGGCATCTGATCAATAAAACTATATAAATGTGAAAGTCTGGCTTTGGGTGCACATATTAAATTCACTGTCTTTCATTATCATAAAAAGAGTGACCATTAAGGCCCACTGACCCCTAGAATGATAACTATAACAATAACTATTTTAGCATTTACACCAATGGCAGTAAAATTATGAGCTCTTTCAAGCCGGATGGATGCTGATTGGCTGTCAGTGTTTTTATCGGAAAAAAATATATTCTGAAAGTGTTTTCTGAATCGTTTTTGTTATAGTGTGGACTTTACTATTCAGTAACACTTTATTTTAATGGTCCACTTTAGATATACTAAGTAATGACTATAAGTAACTTTACAACTACATGTAAACTAATAGTCATTGGATTATTGGTAGACTTTCTGCTTAATATCTGCTAACACTTTATTTTTATGGTCCACAACAGACACTCTACTGACTAATAAGTAACAGACTACTAAAAGTCTACTTAAACTCTAATGACTGGCAGTTGCAAAGTTACTTATGGTTAGTAGAATGTCTAAAGTGGACCATTGAAATAAAAGTGTGACCCAATATTCTTACGGAATTAGACAGATTATTAGACCACATCCAAACTCTGGATTTTAATTAAAACCTTGAAATAAACAGAAAAAAAACCTAAGCTAAAGAAGCCTATTTAAATTTATGTTAATTTTTCAGTTCAGCTTGTCTTTCAATTTGTTTATGTTAATCATAAATGCTAAGTTTTGGAGCCTGTTCATCTGAAATTTTTTCTTTACCAAACCGTTATAGGGTTTACATATCATGTGCATCACTTTTATCAATATACTCACCATTGTTGTTTCAGCAATAGATCCAAAACTGTTAATAAAAATGTTGCATGTTACGTTCACAGGTGGACCTGTGGAAAAAAAGAAAAGAGAAAAACAACAAAACAACAACAACAACAAATAAGTTAAATGATACTGATAAAAAAAAAACAGGTCCTCCAAATTTGAATCTTACCAAAATGTACACCTATTCCTTATTAAGAATCAACTACAAATACTAACCAAAACTTACCTGCTAACTGCTAAATTAGCACTTCAAGCATGTAAATCTTTTTAAGATTTGTTCCTCCCATTTCTGTTTTAGAAATATTGGAAGTAAATCTCATATGCTGGTGCATAACTGAAAACCTGCAGTCAAAGAGACAGATGTATACGACTGAACAGAAACCATACTTCTGCTGTTAAAAAACCCCCAAAAAGCAAGCGATCCATCACATATGGCTCTGTAAACACAGAGTGGGGGATATTTGGAGTGACATGGCGCTCATGGCCTCGTAAAGACCCTGTCAGGCGGCTCCAGACTTCTGATTCGGTTAGATACAGAGCTGCTGAACAGAATGGAGAAACCCTGAACCCAATTTCTCTGCCTGCTGACGAGCCACACGCAGCATCCTAAGGTGCTGAATGAGTAGATTACTGGAAAGAAACATATTGCAATCTGCAAAGTCTTGCACAATTTATTAGGCATTCTATAAGGCTGCGAGTGCGAAGTGCAATCCCCAAGAAAACTATTACCGTACCTGGAAATAAATTTATCTCATGTGTGATTTGACAAAATTTTACACACGATTGTATAGCGTTGCGCCATCAGGAATGTTTTAATTGAGGAACAGATCTTAGATAGTCAGGGTAGTGCCATATTTAACTATAGACAGGAATGAATACAAAGCTTTGAGGAATAGAAATACAGTGCGCTTATTGTACCGTTTAACAACAAAAAACTTTCTGTAGACAAAAACTACTGGATCTAGTATCTCTATACAATATGTGCCATTGTAAAGAAGACTAAGTCACAGCCTCATTTTCCTCTGTGTTAAATGCAATACGGTGTCAAACCTGACTAAGGTCTATTTTAGGGCAGGAACGACACGTCAATGTAATCGATTATGTTGACTACGCACTGTTTATGCTCATGCCTAATCCTCAGTCACGCTTCACACAAAACTCATTCTAACTAGCCTTTAGCATCTGCTCTAGAGTTTTGTTTTGTGTGAAACATGACAGGCGATTATGAACATAAACAGTGCGTAATCGACGTAATCGTTACGTCTACACGTTGTTCCAGTCCTAGTCTATATCTTAAATGTGCACAAAACCTAGTGAGCAGCCTACAAAGGCAGCATCCTAACCATAATCAAACGAATTTGTAACATTCCAGACGCAATACAATAAGCATTCTGCATGAAAGACTTAATTCACAATTGATTTCAATAGAGTTTGGCATTAGCATGTTGCTAAACTAACAGCACAATTCTCTAACAAGCATAAAAATACATAGTAGAGCGGAATTAATGATTGTGTGCAACGTAATATTTCATTTTGATCGAAATATAGCATTATGTAGCCTATAAGTCAACATAGCTTTGTCCGCCATCTTGGTTTTCACTCGTTGAAGAACATTATCGTTCTGTGTGAAGGCCACGCAATGTTGCCTCGGAATTTGGCTTAAACAAGGTATCTTAGCAAAATTCAGTTGCCTACCTTTTGAGCCAGACTTTGCATTCGTAGGCAGCTCACTAGTTTTGGAACTGGCTCAAATTGTATCATATTATCAGGCAGTTCCTGTTTGAGCCTCTATACAGTGTCAAGCCCCATAGTTGCTCTTGGCTTATTCCTTCCACTGGGTATTATACTGGCTGTAATCGTTTGTCTGTTCTTGGCTTTCCTTGCCGTATGTGACGCAGCGCAGAGGAAATCTAATGTCCTCACCCCCACTGCAGTTCATTTGTGAGCCCAGCCTCCAATAAGGAGAGGAGAAAGAGGAAGACAGAGCTCATTAACTGTCAGGAAAGGGTGAGTCATCGCCAAGAATGATTTGCTTTGCCATGTTTTTGCCAAACAATCTGCGCCCTGCTCTCCTTAGAGAAACTAACTGCAGAGGGATGCAACCACCAGCGAAGGGACGTTCAGGTTATTTATAAATTTTTCACTCAGCTGTCCTTCCCAGCAAATCAGACCTTAATTTCTGAGCCGTGCCTCCACTCTCATCTCGCAGAGGTGACGGTAGTTTAGAAGCCTCACACGTTTCACTGCGCTTCTCTTTATTACACAGACACAAACAGGACACACGAGTCGCAAAGATCAGCCTCGTCTTTCCTAGAGATGAGCTCATCAGAGACAGAGAAGGAGAAAGTGAGGGAAGAGCGTTTTCCCGTACTGTATTGACTTTGCACAGTTAAGTATTTACGAAGAAAAATCAAGACATTCAGAGAGTCATTACTGTGATTAATTTCATGCATAAACAGAACAATCATTAATCAAATGTCCCTTGGGTAAGTATAACCTCCTTAGAAAGCCCATAAATTACGTGCTTGCCACCTAAAAAATCAGTTATCCGAGAGACCAATTACTTCTTCATAAACCAACAACCACTACTCATCTTTACAGTTAGCAGTTTATAATCATTCATTAACAAGGTTCATGTCTAAACTGATCAATACCACAGCGAGTGCATCTCTTTACCTAGCAGCAACCGGAGAATGATACAGCCTCAAAAGCCATTAGTCTGTTTTACACCGGTCAGCTGGAGGGAAAATGGCGCACAAGATGTTGTCCCCCAGAGGACACTCTCCATAAGGGAGCAAAACAGATTTATTGCAAACAACGGGCACTTAAGATGCCTCCCAGGTAAGTGGACCACCACAAATGAAAGTGTCTGATATAAATAAAGAAAGCTTAATGATATTGCTCATGTTAAAAATCGAGCTGCTCTCAGCAGAAATACAATGGCACAGAGACATTAAATATTTATATGGCTACGGCTATACCGATAAGGTTTTGACAAGGCAGTTTTCAACTGAAGTGAGATCCACTGGTAACAAAGGGACAGCAACGTGCCCTACCAGCCTTTCCATGTTAGCACACCTCACTGAATCAACACCAGGGCAAATGTCAAGGGCTTCCTCTTACTCCTTGTACACTGACATATGGGCCGATGCTGAGTAAATCTATTGGCATGGGACAATTTTCAATTTGCGCTGCTCTAGTTACAGTGATAGGGTAAAAAAAAAAAAGGTGTTAAGCGCCAGCGAATGAGCTGAGCTTCTTTATGAGGAGTGAAATGGGAAAAAAACAAATAAATCATGTAGCTGCATAATCCAAAATCCATTTCTGTTGAGATTTTGTTGTTTAATGTGATTTCTTCTGGTGTGAAGAGATTTAGAGTACAACAAAATCTAAATAATACAAAGAAATATAGTATAGAAACATATAGAATAAAGTATAGAATACTATAAAAAAAGAATATAGTTCAGATGACAACAAAAATGATATAATATAATATAATATAGAATACCTCAAATAGAAGATTTTGAATATCAAAAATAGAATGCTGTATTACCATACTACAGAATAATATAGTACAAAAAACATACTATACTATGGACCCCTACTAATAGAATACTACAAAAAGAACAGTATAGAATAGTACGGAAAAAATAATACTATCAATCAATCAATCAATCAATCAAATCACATTTATTTATATAGCACATTTAAAAACAACACACGTTGGCCAAAGTGCTTTACATACAGCCCAACACATACAATCTAAGATTATAAAACAAAGTATAAAACAATTACAAAAATTATTTTACACTAGAATTATTATATACACTAGAATATTATATAAAAACACAATGCAGTACAAAATAGTACAAAAATAGACTACAAAAAGAATATGGTACAGAATACACAAACAGAAAACTATATTAGGCTACTTAAAAATCAATATTTTGTGTACAGTTTTTTTTTATTCTGTCATCCGGTATCGCAGACTCGGTCTCTCGTTTCATACAAACGCAGCTGCTGCCATTTTGCGACAAATGTTTTGTATAATGTTAATGGATTATTAGATAACAAACAGGTACGATTTTAAAATGGTTTAATCTCAGATCAATATCACTTATCCCCATAATAATTAATCTGGCAAAATGCTGTGTAATAAGAGGTATGACTGTACCGTATCCCTTAAATGTACGTCCGCTTGCTAGCAACTGCTCTCTACGTGGAAGCATTGCATTTAAAGAGCTAATTAAATATTTCGTCTCAGATCAATATTTCATGTCTGATTATTTACTTACGTGGCAAGCCGTGTAATAAGCGGGATAATGTACATACAGCCGGTTGTTATTGCAGAATAAACCCCTTCAGTGTGATCCTGTCTGGGTTTATTCTGCGATAACCGGCTGGAAGTACATTAGCAATTACTTAACGCACAGTATAGTTCCAAGTCAGTTTAATCAGCATTATATATTAATGTGCTGTTTTCATTGAAGCACACACACGTCACTCGGAGATAACGCTGCGCACACACAGGAACATTCAGGAGCACGGAAACTTGTTATTAACGCTATGCCGCAACTTTTATTAATAAAATAGCTTCGCTACATTATACATCTCAGCAACGAGGAAGTAACGTCGCTGGTTTTGAAGTAATTAAACTCACAGCTTTGTTGTTAATAAAGAGAGACGCTGAACAGACGCAGATAATTCACACACGCATCTCTCTCTCTCGATAATGAATAAAAATAAATAAATTATAATTTATTCATTCAAATAAATGTAAATCGTACACACTACTTTATCTAAGTGTCTGATTCAAAGATTGCTAGATCTAACTGTAAATGACGATAACAGCTTAAAGTTGTCAATGCTGGCAAATGACCATGGTATAAGCGTGATAATCCACGGCTAGCTGTGCATAAACTATTTTAATGCACCACTGCTTCGCGTCGGGTGGTTATTTGCCTTCACATCGCACATTAAAATTGCTTAATGCACAGCTAGCCGTGGATTAGCCCATACATTACAAATTACAAAAACATCTTTTAGAGTACTACAAACACAGAGCATAATATAGAATAAAAAAAGAATACATAAACAGAATATAGTATAGTACAAAATATAGTATAGAATAGTACACAAAAAACAACAAAATATTATACTAGAATAGCAAACCAGTACAAAAAAAAAGCTTTTTAGAGTTCCACAAAAAAACAGAATATAGAGTAGTAAAAAACCAAAATACTATACTAGAATACTACTGAAACATAATAGCATAAAATAGTACAAAAATAAAATATTTTTTCTTTGAATTCTACAAAATAAAACAGAATATAGAGTGGTTAAAAAAGAGAACAGAACATTATCTACCAGATTAGCACAAAAACAAACAAAACAGTTTAAGCATAAAATAATACAATTTAGTACAACATGCCCTGAAATGTCTAAGCAAATTACTACGACAAAACGTTTGACAATTAACAACCTGGTTTATGCACATAAAAAGGAGCTATCCCTGACTCAAACATCATTTTGCATTCTATGCATTTTCTACTTGAAACAACCCACTCCAAACAAAACCAAATCCAGATTGGGCAGAAGTCACAGCCATCCATCACTCCAGGTTCGGTTCAGCTAGAGGCGACCCTAACCATTAAGGGGATTGTATTAAAATTCATAAGAGACGGACAGCGACGGCTCAGACGGGAAAAGATGCCTGTGCAGTGACAGCTAGTTTCAGAGAGAGTGTCTGAGTTAGCATTGTCACATGCCTATAAGTAATGACACACTGCTAAATTACCAGGATCTCTTCCTGCCCCTGAGGCTAGAATCACTGATAGGGGAAACATGACAGCCTTGGAGGAGGGAGGCTGGAGAGAGACATAAATCAATAGGAGGGCTGTGGCACCGAGTCCGGAATGTAGAATGAGTCGACTACAGTTTGATTACATGGGTAGCTTCAGCTGCAGAAGTCATGAGATAAAATGGTCAATATTACAGCAAAATTGATTCACACCGAGGTTAACTGATGGTTTTAATGATAGGAGAGACTGTGTTTCCTTATACTCTGTGGCTATGCGTATGAAATAATTAGATTAGAGAATAGAGATAAGAAGGAAATTAGATTAATATGATGAATCTCTATTAAACTGGCCGACATCTCGGCTGGACTAGCGCTGGCACTGAGCTTCCTTACTGTCCAATCCAGATTTCACTGGCCATTATATTGAAATGCTGTAGAGTTATTTACATATTTCAGTAAGATATACAGTCCTACCAGTGTTGGAGAGTAACTAGGTAAAAGTATTAAGTTAACGCTACTAACTTAAGCACATTTTTTAATAGTGTGAAAGTAATTCAGTTTTTACATTAACAAGCACTTTTTAAACTGTGTTTAAAATTCTACATATCTCTGTTGAGCAAATCAAAGGTAATAATCAAACATGCTCTACTAGAATGTCTTTTGCTATCAAATAGAGTTCAAACATTTTAGCGAATCTGTCAGTTTGGATGATTCATTTTCAATTTATTTGAATCGTCATTCAGTTTTCAGATATTTTATGTCCTCTTTTCTGTACCAAATTAAATATTTATCTAAATACTGGTTTAAATATTGAATACATTTTTAACTGTTTTCAGTTGCTAATATAATTAGTTTATATTATACATTTGTATTATTATTATATTATATTATATAGTTTGAAGCTGTCAGGCCATTTGCTAATATTGCTCCTTCATATAAATAGCTTTTTTGTTAGCAACTTGTGAAAAAAATATTTTAAAATAACTTCTTGAGCTATTGGATGCGTAAATGACTCTTAGAAATAAAATGTGTGCAACATAAAAACAAACACACTGAATATTCATCATCTGATAAAAAACGCTGCATCCCTGACAAATTAAATATAATTTTCAAACACATCTACAACCTGCTACTTCAAGTAGAAACCTTACATGGTCGTGATTCATTTCGTTTAAGGTACCAAGGCATGAAAAACTCACAAACAACATGACTAATAACTAACTATAAATATAAATAACATACAAACGAACATTATAGTTCTTAAGACACTGCTTGCTAATATATGCATACGATACACATTAAACACACCACAGACCACACCAATAGCAGGCAGTAATCTCAGCTGGGATAAATGATGATTAAACGTTGTGTGATAAATGCAGAATAATACTCTAATGTGATTTGTGGATACTCCTCCTATGATCATTCATTTGAAAACACTGGAGCCGTGACAAACATCCAGAAGGCTTCACATTAGTCTACATAAAGGGAGTGAGCTGTGTATATAATGCCTGTAATAACAGGGCTGTAATAAGAATCTACCGGCAGCGTTCGGCCCACAGGACTAGAGCTGCATCTCTGCAGCCTCAATAGTCACAAAAACAATACTAAATGCACCACCGGGACAACCGTACATCAGAATCAAATAGATTATTTGAGTACAATATCTGAAACCATGGCTTGTTACCTAAAGCAACAAAATTTGATTAGACGAATAACTGAGCGTCAACAGTGGCTGTTGTTTTTTGTTCCGTCATATGTGGAAATTCATTTGTTCTCCCAATTTAATTACAAATTTAAGCCAAGATCAGAGGGAAAATCAGTGGTGCACAGATTAAAACAGTGCCCGGCTACACAAAGCTTATCTTAGGGATAAACTGGTACTAAAGTGGCAGTCACAAAGTTCCAATGCTAAACCGACAACTGGAGGCTACACACAGATAGTAATTTCCACAGCATGAGTAAAAGGAAGCTAATTAATAAATAAACATACGCTTTTTTCAAATGTCTTGCCTGAAGCCCAATTACTCTGATCCTCCTACCAGTAAATAAAGGTCAAGAAATGATATCCAATTATACCAGAAAAGATAAACTAATATCTCCATGTGTCATTTGGTGTTATCAGTTAGCAAGCCATTTATAAAAAGATCAGACGCCCATCTGATGTCAGTTGCATTGCGGGCAAATGCTTTAGTTATGTTACTCTCAACCATTAACAAAACACACAGATATCTTGAACTCATTCAATCATTTAGCTGTTTCTCAGATGAGATATCGCCCGCTCATTGCATGAATCAATAAGCTTGTATAATCCTGGATAAATAAAAAGGAAGTACCTTTTTTGTGAGTACCATCCGATTTGGAGCCTTGTGGGTCTAATGAAAAAAAGATCAGGATTAATAACATGATATTCTAACAGCAAGATTTTTAGCTTTTTCTTTTTTTCTTTGCGGAACCAACAATAGAAAAAAAAAAAACATAAGCAGCATGGCTCACGTATTCTACTTTACACTCGCCAACACTTTGAGTGTTGAAGTGTGTGGCAGGGAATATTGGGTGCTAAGGGCATACTAAAGGCAAGAGCAGGTAAGGAGGGATGCACTTATTCGTCCAAAACTTCAGAGCGGGCAGGACAAGAGGCAAAAGCACTGAAATGAAAAAAAGGATGGGGGTTGCAATGCATATCTGGTCACGGGAGGCAGAGGTTAGCAAAATGCACGAATAGATGCAATACACTAGGAGGGAAAATGCAAAGACTACATGTCAAACTGGCTTCACTTTGAGTTTTACACAAACTGTACAAAGGATAATTGTTTTCAAGATTTTGTCTTGACCGGTAGATCAAATTGATTTGCCTGGCATTGGGTTGCAGGGCTGTGCAATACAAAAGGAATGGGAACTTACTTTGGGGACCACAAAACAGCCCCCCCCCCTCCCCCCCTTTTTTTTTTTTTTTTTTACAAAGAGAACCAATTTGGACATACGTCAGATCATCACAGTGTACTATATTCCAGTCAGTTTCCTCAAAACCATACAGAAACTACTACAATAGTGTTTTTCTTGTACAGTTCTGTATGGTAATCACTAGGATAAAGATGCTCCTTATAGAACACTACCATGCACATTTGTGACCACAGTTATCGTGTACAGTAATGCGCCACAGCGAATGCAGTTCAATCTATTCCGTTGAGCACCGTGGGTGGCCGTCATTTGCGTGTTACCCTAAACACAAATCACTCACTGGATCCTAATTAACATACACAAACATGAAATGTAGACGGGTGATTTAAGGACTTCAAAGTCCTTCCTTACTTCTTCAGCCCAACTGCATGTTCACCAATAACGCAGACGCCGACATAATCCAGGACTTCCCAAGAGGCTTATCCTTTGTGAAAGAGCTACGTTAACCATTCAATTCCCAGTCCCCATGACCCAGCATTGATTTTCCCATCTAAAGCTCTTAGATAAATGATATTAGCGACAAATATTTTAGAGACGCCCACTTCTTTATCGAGTAGAGAACAGCTGATCCCTCTGCATTTCCATCACCAATCGTACAGAGCTAATATTGAGAGAGCCCAGAGAAGAAAAAAGTATATTAAAAGAAGGAATGTTCTATTCATACTTTTAATTGAAAACAGTTCTGAAAATGAAACCAGTGATGATTAACCTATTAAGGCATGAATTTGATGCAAAACAATAGATCTACATAATAATCGCATATTCAGTTTTTAGGGGACATGACGTATTATTAGCCCTTAAGTTAAAGCATTTGATAATATTTAAACCAGTGCTGTCAAAGTTAAGGGGTTAAATACGTTGAATAAAGTCTTAAATGAATGTAAAGACTTGTGAGAAACTGGGACGCGTGTGAGATGTGCAGCAGCGTCATGTGCAGCAGCGTCAGATCTTAAAGTGACAGCAGCCACTAAAGCGGTCTGTCATTAATGTTAAACAAAGAACAAAGGTAACAGTTACTCACTTAGTAGGCTACCAATTGAACAATTAATTGAACAATTATCCAATTAAAATTATGTAAGGATTATTGAATTCAATTTGATGGAATTTTACTATGAATTAAATTGCATAAATCTTAAAAAAAAGGCTCCGCCCACAAAACATGTCATCGCTGTTTGCAAACACCCAAACGGTCTCTTGCAAAGGCCAATCTCAATCTAACCATCTTGCGCTGTAAAAATTATTTTTATTGATATTGAGTATGTTCTACAAGCAAATGTCTACTTCAACATTTCAGAATGTCAATGTTACTTGCCGTTTCTTTGCAATTATTTGTGTGAAAATTGTTTCAAAGTAAACCCTACACCTATATCACTGCAGACAGTGATAAATCGCTCAGGAGTTGCACCTTCAAGTTCAAATGCGAGTAACAGAAGTTTTAAAATTACATTTCCATGGATGATTGTCTCTGCAGCCCTGTGAGAACTGGAACAATTTGTAGGCGATGAGCTAAAACGTGTATGAAAAATTAAAATCACATCTAACCTTGCTCTATCTCGGTGTCATTTGATTGTTCTGTTGTGATGTTTCTTGAGGCCCCGCAGCCCCCCCTCACAGACGCATTGCCTTCTCTCTCTCCCCGCGAGATAAAAACGCAACTATCTAGCGCGATCCGGAGACGCTTCGTTACCCCCATGGTGGAAATACAGTTCATAGCATCTCTGAAAGCTTGCTTGATGTTACAAAATCATTTATAGCCACCTCTTCAAGCAGATACAACACGCATTCTGCTGGGATGCTGCTGCTCTCAGCAGATAACTTCTCCGGTAGCTTCAAACATCACATAAGAAACGGTCTTGATCAGGATTTCAGTCATTTGTCATCATTTAAACCGAGTGAAAAGCATCAGTAGGTTCACCATTGCCGTTTGTATGTGAACGCTGCACCCCGACTCATTAGAGAATTCCCATTAATCCTATTAAAGTCCCATTAAGCATGTGCTGATAGCACCAAATTAACATCAAGCTCCACCAGCTACTAAAGCTTCTGCACTTTACATGAATGAGGAGGAGATGCAAAGAGGTAACAGACACATACAGGACATCCAAAAAGAAAAAGAAAAAGAAAAAGCAATCAGTAAATATACCGCAGCAGACTGTATATTTACACAATGTACACGTGTCTCTTCGAACCCATTCAGAAGCAAAGCGACATATTATCAGAAAGTATTGCACTGATCATGACTATAATGCATCGTGGCAGCTGGTTTGAAACGGGACGGGAGGGAGACTGTTGGTGTACGGCATGGCGCAAGCAGCCGATGATTGTGCTATTTGGGCGGAATCTGTAGCACCTCGTGGCTGTCGGCCTCGTAGCTCCTCGCTGTGACTGATGAGAAGGGACAAGGTTAACGTGGGTACGGGAGGCGCAGCTGCATTCCAAAGCATTCATCACTAGCGGCCGCAGATTACAGCTCAGCTAGCGGACCAACTGTCCCCGCTCCTCTCAGGTTCACACGTCCCCAATTTGTTTAACGCAGCACTTTGATCTGTCAGCGAGCGCTAAGATATGGTCTATTCAAGAAAAACTGAGGCTTAAGGCTAAAAGTGTGTAATATCTGTGGTACCAAACGGAATTATTATAATTTTTATATATATATATATATATATATATAGTTTTCAAACGGGTTTCTCCCATGTTCACTGTTGGTCAGCTAGACAGATAGTACCGCCTCAAGGTTGAGTCAATGCCGCTGTGCTGAGCTGGTCAGGATGCTCTTTTTGATACACATTTTGGGGAAATGCATATGAAAATGGCATAGGCAAAGGCAATGGCAATGGCAATGGCAAAGAAACACTCACCAATAAGGTAAACTAGTTAACATTAGTTAATACATTAGGTATCATGAACTAAAATATATATATATATATATATAAAAATAGGCCAAACTAATAATTATTGTACAATACCCAACCGTTCAAAAGTTTGGGTTCAGTACGATTTTTTTCAAAGTAAGTAATGCTGAAAAAAATGTCATGGTTTACACCAAAAATTGTTAAATAATAATAAATAAATAATAATAATAAGCAGCACAACTGTTTTCAAGATAGTATGAAACGATTCTGAAGGATCATGTGACACTGAAGACTGGAATAATGATGCTGAAAATTCAGCTTTTGGCATAACAGAAATTACATTTACATTACATTACATCTTACATTTTAAAATGCATTAACATAGTAGACAGTAACTTTAAATTGTAATAAAATATATAAAAACAAAGAGTAATATTGTGAAATATTGATAATGCAGCCTTGGTGAGCATAAGAGACTTCTTTCAAAAACATAAGAAAAAATGACCTTTTGAACAGTAGTGTAAATAGACTCATTCATTGTAAATTTGTATTCAGTTGTAATATGTTCATTTTAAGTTATTTAATTTTATGTTAAAAATGCAAATGTAGAAATTAACATGAACCTGAATTAATAAATGCATTGATAGTTCATGACATTTAATGCGTTAACAATGAACTGAACCTTGTTGGAAAGGGTTACCAAAAATGAAACACTTCAGCCTTAATAAAATTAAATCTTACATTATTCATTGATTGAAAAGGTACATGTGAAAGATTTTGATCTGAAAATATATCTATCCTGGTCCTAGCTGCATGGGGTGCCCCAAATGTGCCAGACTATGATCTCTCCATTTCAAATGGTCTCGGCTAAATCAGTTGGAAGGATTTCCCACTGTGAGTCCCAGTCATGATCAGTGTAATTTCTTCTCATGCCAGCACATTCGTTGCTTCAGGCAATTCTTATCTTTTTCACTATTTCTGTACGACCAAATTTGCAGGAGAGGCAGTAATCAGAGGAGGTGAACTCCTCCTCCTCCTCCTCCTCACCATGAGCTGGAAAAAATGTCTTATCACATCAGATGCTGTTTACGTAGGAGCCTAGGACCCTTGAAACGTGCTCTCTCGGCTTTTCCTTCAGAAATTTATCAAGATATGCTGTCAGGCTGCCTGCTATATGAATTTTAGGGAATGCGTTCTACAGTGGAGCAAAGAAAACTGTCTGAGGACGCGCGAGCTTCCGGCTCAGAGTGCAGTTACACGCTTGACCTGACAGCCGTGACGAACCTTTGTATTTCATAATGTCTGGTCTGGTCATGTGACCATGGGACCCATGTGCCCTCATAAAATGAAGTGAATGAATTACATAATGAAATCACGAATGAGGGCCAGTGTTTATTCATACAGCGGATATCAACTGCCATTGTAACTTTTGTTTTATATATATATATATGAATGTTAATATAAGAATTAATTCATTTGGATTTCTGACAATTAGGGTTTAAATCACACACTGAAACCATACAGGCAATGCGGAGTTTATGATGTTGAGAATATTTGCTTCTTCTGGGTAAATTTAAGTGAGAAAACAATCAACCGACGCCATTCAGGTTGCAGCAAAACTCAGCAAACAGCAAAATTGAAGACGTCAGACTTCATTCACCATATCACAGCACTGACTGTCAACAAAAATAAATAAATAAATAAATAAATAAAAGAGAGAAATTCGTTGCCACAAGCAAGGTTAAGATGCAAGGCCACTCAAAATCAGACGGTGACCCTCTGCCATTTAAGCGTTCAAGCAGGTTTAACAGTCTGGACAGAGTCCCAGCATACATTACTGTAATGTTCCTTTCATTCAGTAATGGTTTTACCTACCTATATTTTCAAAGGAAGAGTGAGATTGTACATATACAGAATGCATGATTTTTTACTCTTTAAATCTGCATTACATGAAACATATCTTGGTCAGAAGAGAACACTTTATAATATCTTTCATTAATCCATAATTCAACTTTACATAAAGCTTAACAGATCATATTTCAATGTACAATAATGATTTGTTAAGCATTTTATCATTTAATAGTTTGCTAAATTTATTATAAAGTGTTACTGGTCAACACACATGCAAGATATCAAACAGCTGATACATTTGATTTGGCTCTATAAACAATATGCATTCAAACAGGTCAATATTCGAATTGAATTGAATATATACAAAATATATATACACACAAACCCAATACAAGAGAAATGAATATATACACTTTCTTTAATCAATTGCTGCACATTATATACACTACATAATAGTGCAGTAGTCACTATAAATGCAGTAAAAATTAGTAAGAGAAGGAAATACATAGCTTTTAATCTTGCATCGGGGTTTATGTGTACACAACATTGTCACAATTTCAAATATATTATTTCGTTTGTATGTTGTAATTAATATATGTATTAAAAGACAAGGTATTGCTTTTAACACAGCTATAAACACCTTTGGGGAAAAGATTTATATTTCCAAGAATAGCTAAGAAACAGGCAGACTGTAATTTCCAGGGATTGACATTAATATATTGTTGAATATAAGGAAACCTCTGACATGTATCTTGCAGTGGCTATTACTAACATTGCCAGCACACGTCACACAATATAATATATAGGATACCGACTCCCACCACAGACATCCACTCAGGATAATGATTCGAGATCATGGAACAGGAACAGCAATGTAGCCAAAAGCTTTCTTAATATTACTACTATACAGGTAATTCAGAAAGTATCCACCCTATCCTAAACTGTATCTGTCATGCACTGAGTTATATAGCAGGCTGCTATTCTATTACTAGGCTATTCAAACATCTTAAAGGAACACTCCGACTTTTTGGGACTTTAGCCTATTCACCTTATCCCCCAGAGTTAGATAAGTCCATACATACCTTTTTCATCTCCGTGCGTGCTATAAGTCTGTTTGACGCACCCACCGCTAGCCTAGCTTAGCACAAAGACTGGATGTAAATGGTTGCAGCTAGCATACTAATCCAAATAAGTGACAAAATAACGCAAACATTTTCCTATTTACATGTTGTGATTTGTATAGTCACAGAGTGTACAAAAAACAAAGTCACATGAGACACAGACATATTTTAACCGTATAAATACTGGGAACTATATTCTCTGAAGGCGAAGCACTGCTACTTGGGCGGAGTGATAACCGCAGCACCTGAGACGCGCTCTCTGCTCCTCACCACGGTTCGTCTCAGGTGCTGCGGTTATCACTCCGCCCAAGTTGCAGTGCTTCGCCTTCAGAGAATATAGTTCCCAACTTCCCAGTATTTATACGGTTAAAATATGTCTGTGTCTCATGTGACTTTGTTTTTTGTACACTCTGTGACTATACAAATCACAACATGTAAATAGGAAAATGTTTCCGTTATTTTGTCACTTATTTGGATTAGTATGCTAGCTGCAACCATTTACATCCAGTCTTTGTGCTAAGCTAGGCTAGCGGTGGGTGCGTCAAATAGACTTATAGCACGGACGGAGATGAAAAAGGTATGTATGGACTTATCTAACTCTGGGGGATAAGGTGAATAGGCTAAAGTCCCAAAAAGTCGGAGTGTTCCTTTAAGAGAATAATTACATTTTTGGGTATCAGGGGTTTGGATGCAATATGCTTTGAAATCAGAATCTGAAAATCTTTTGTACAGGAAAACTATGCGTGTTTGTGGAAACATGTTGGATTATTTTAACAATACATCCCTTGTTTCCATTTACTGACAAATAGTCCATATGCATTTATCGTATATATTCTTGCAAATTTCCAACTCTTTAAATATTTTAAAATACAGCTTGGCTACATTCCTGTGGTATCCAGCAGTGTCTTGGTGGATAAACCTACCTTTGAAATTTGGTCTGATTCTTGCATCATAACCGGACACTTTTCCCATAAGCTTGTCCAGGAATTCTGACGGGGGCATGGGGGAGGCAGCTTTCCGAGCCGCTGCTTGTTGGGACGCTGCCAAGCTGTGGAATGGGATAAAGACATGTGTGTTAAAAAACAGAGGAGGACAGGCACTGCATTATGATATATATTCAATTACAATTACACTTTTTACCCTTTGGTAAACCAATAGACCTTATTCGGAGCAGGGCCATTACATGAAAGCGAGGCTGTGAGGGATAGACTTGCCTGTGTTTTCAATGGTATCTCTGCTGTAAAAAACTGTATAAAACTCCTAGATCACATAATTTTCCACAGCTCACGTTGCCCAGAGTTTTTTTTGTCTACTGAAATTTCCCGGAAAGATATGTTTGCAGTGTTTCGTCAGCAGAACAATCCAAAAACACGTTTGTGTTTGGAGATGCATGTCTATCCCTCACGGCCTCGCTTTCATTCTCGCTACAAAGATGGCGCTGCTGTGAATAAGGTCTATATCTCTGACATCATATGCTGTCATTTTCAAAAAGTGATATTAAACAATTGACAAGCTTTGGGTTTAAATCTCCAGAGCTGAAGCTCATTCACTTTAGACCAAAAGAGAATCCATGAAAAAGCTAATGAACATGGAAATGAATCGAGACCTCGTCATACAGAAGTATCTGTGTCTTCATTAGCATTGAAAGCCATTAGAGCTTAATAAGTGATAACAGGGTGCATGTCTATCCCTTTGAAACCTCAGTGTAACCCGCCCACTGAATTCACACTAAAAGTCAGGTCACTAACTGGCCTGCGAGTCACATGATAACTTATCCCACGGGATTTTAAGCCTAAGACCACTTTTAGTGCTGATTAGTCACATTTTAACTGCTTCCATAGGGCTCTTTATCTGCCCTACATTTAATTGCCAAGTCTCTGTGCTACATGATGGACTTTAATATATCTATTGACTTATTCAAGTCCTCCCACATACCTGATTACTGAAAACTCACAGGAACAATTGACCTTTTTTTTCATATACAGCATCAGTGTGTCTGACAAAAATGGAGGATAATAATCATAAAAGGGCCTGTGGTATATTGATTTCACCTAAGTCCTTGAGACATGGTCCTGTTCTTGCCAATTTCATGGGTCTTTCTTTGAAAGGAATTGCTCTATTTTCTTAACCAGCCACTGAATCCTGTCTAACTGTTTCGGCAGCATATCCATTGACTTTCTGCATCAGCGTCACCACTTATCCTTTTTATTTTCGAAATAAGCAATAGTCAGGCTTTTTCCATTCTGCACATCATTATTCTTTCTGCTCATTAACATTTACTGGTGTTGGGCAACTATTGAATTGGAGAAGTGTATGGCATTTAAATGTGAATGCGTCATAGAGAATATTCTGGGAAATGCAGCTCAACGTATCGCTTTTAAATCTAAACATAATGTGTGATCGGTCTCACCTTAACAAAAGACTGTTAATCACTTTTAATTAAACTCTTTCATTTTAACACACGCTGAATGGTTCAAAATGAACAGCATAAGAAAAAAGTGTCAGTAAAGATCCAAAAGCTCAACTCTGCAGATACAGGTGTAGAAAATAAATTAATTATTAAATTCAAATAAAACATTAATTGATAGTAAAGACTTTTACATTGTAACAAAAGATTCTATTTTAAATAAGTGCTGTTCTTTTAAACTTTCTTTTCTTCAAAAAAGGTATAATGGTTTCCAGAGAAATATTAAGTGGATAGCACAACTGTTTTCAACATGAAAATAATACATGTTTCTTAAGCGTCAAATAATCATAATAGAATGATTTCTGAAGGATCATGTGACACTGAAAACTGGCGTAATGATGCTGAAAATTCAGCTTTACCATAAATAAATGATAAAACTAGAAAACAAAATTGTAAGTTGTAACATTTCACTACTGTATTTATGATCAAATAAATGCAGCTTAGTGTATTTGTGTGTGTGTGTGTGTGTGGCTTGGTAAACCCTATATTATGGGGACAAAATATCCACACAGTTCCACTACGTGAAATCTCGCGGCCCACAGGGAAGAAAATGAATAGTTGAATAAAGTCGTTATTTTTGTTTGTTTTTTTGCGCACAAAAAGTATTCTCGTCGCTTGATAAACTTAAGATTGAGCCACTGTAGTCACTCGGACTATTTTAACGATGTCTTTCATAGATTTTGGGCCGGCCAGATTCGATCCCTTAAGAAGCCTATGGAGGAGTGATCCAGCTCTCAGATTTAATCAAAAATATCTTAATTTGTGTTCCGAAGATGAACCAAAGTCTTACGGGGTTGGAACAACATGAGGGTGAGTAATTACTGACAGAATTTTCATTTTTGGGTGAACTAACCCTTTAAGCTTGACAGTACCCTCCCTGACTAATACGCCTCAAAAATATGAATAAAAATGAAGAAACTACTTACCATCTTCTGCACCACTGTTAAAGAGACCTGAATGATGTCATTCAATGATGAGTGTAAATTACTATGGGCGGAGAATGGTTGGCATGACGGGGTTGAGTTCAGACTGAGGGACATGAATTTATAATCGTTTTTTTATTTTATTTTATTAAATAGCTTTCTTTTTTTTCCCACAAGAAAATAACACAAATACTTACAATATTGCCAAAAATTATAGACACTACGTATGCACATTGTTAAATATTTGTTAAATAAGTACAAATTCAGTGAAGTGCCTTAGGGACATGGCAAAATGCTTAGTGTAAGATAGAAATAACACCTTATAATAAAAAATTATTTAAATGCAATAATTATTTTTATTCATTATAATGGACATAACAACATATTGTGAAAAGCTTTTTTTTTTCATTTTGGTGAACCACCACATTAAAAAGTCTAAATATTACAGAATCCCAGGAATTAATTATATAGTGTGTGTGTGTATGTGTCTGTGTGAGAGAGAGAGTGTGTGTGAATCATCCCATTGTGAGAAACACATTCATTTGTGTTTAATGTAAAATTTTGCAATGCAAGCATAATGAGATTAGTCATGGCATGCCAGATTATTGAGTCTCTTCCAGAGCTATTCTCTGTGACTATAGGCTCTTTACAACACACCATCGACAAAATCTTGGTGACAGTGTGAAATCTGAGGATACAGTCTCTATTAGTTTTGGTTCCCTGCATATCCATCTAATTGTAACCAGTAGCTGACAAAAAATGGAGTAAGCTGCAATCGTAATGTGGGTTTTAAAAGTAGGGTATGCAAAAAAAAAAAAAAATTATAAACATTTTTTGTTATACTGGTTGAAATTCTCTTCACATCCTGATAGCAATCAATAATAGAAGTGGTCTAAATATTTAAAAACATGTACCTACATATATCTTCTGTGGAAGTTTCAGGACAGAAAAATATTCGTCCAATCACAGCACTCGGTCCGAATGCAATAATAGGATGTTCTACCTGCCTATCAGTGTGTATATTTCCATACCTCCGCACACCCTGCTCACACAAACATCACACGTCATTAGAGTGTTTCATGAGGCTATGCAGAGTCGCCGAGCGCCAAAAACAAACAGCAGTCGCCTTTTACAGTTCCTCCATGCTGCGTTCATGCCATGTCATAACTGTAATTACAAGATGGCAACACGTGACGTTCTACTCAGAGCGGTTCACGTCCTCAGACTCAAATGTATGCGTTTCTCTAACATCACTATCAACGCTGAAATATAGCTGCAGCAGTCAGGTGGTACAAATAAGAGCTCCAAGTTGTTTACATTGATTATTAATGTAATTTGATGTGCTTTGAGACATGAGGTAATTTAATGCTGTCTCCCATGACGCTTTGCATACTTGCAGTGTTCGTTCCTGTGTTTTGAAGGAGGCGTGGCTTTGGAGACGCTCTGGGATCTCATGATTTTAAAGCTAGCTTGCGATTGCTAGCCTCTCCGAAATTGCCTACCCTACCTTTAAACTGCATCTTTAGTAATGAATGGTTTCACTGATCAAGGCAGCACTGAACAAATGAACCTTGATCGATGCTGGTCATGGCAGTGGAGAGAGGGCCTGATCCTTCTGCTGATGCAGCAGGAACCAAACCAGAGCCTCCTGCCAGAAAATATATGCAAACAACCCCGAGACCTGCATACTTTAATGTGAGGATCCAATCATTAGCCCTAAGTGTAGCTCATTATGTTCTTAGGACCACTGATGAACACAATCCTTATTGATCTTGTAACACTCAAGAAATCAAAGGCCTCTCTGGCACCAAGATGGCATTTCTTCAAGCTGCTCTCAATTTGTCAATGCGGTTACTGAAGGACAGAAGAGAACATGTTAGAATTAACCCCAAATTACTTGATCTTTAAATCTTCATTTTAGCACAGACCTCAAAATAATAACCTCTCAGATAGAAAGAAAGGTGGTGGATCCAAAATCAAAATGAGTATTGCTAGTTATGGGTCAGTGCTATTTGTGGTACAATTCTGTCTTTGATTATTAATGATGCATTGGGAGTTAGGAATGATCCTTCCTAAAAATAATGGTTACAATGAATACTATTTATAGCTTTTTTCTTTAGATATTGAACAAGCCGTCCTTCCCCTCGTTTCCCTCCACTTTGAGGAGAAATTAGATTTGAAAAGCTCTAGAGCACAAAATTGAGAGCATATATGTATCCGCTGCAGTCACTACCTGTGCATATACAATTACCAGAGAGACCGAAACTAAACTCTGATTCTAATCTCTATTAGTAGATATTAACCCTTGAGGCAAGTGCAATTTTTTTTCATAGTTTCCATCATTGAGCCAAACAGCAATTTAACAGAAATAGGGATATGCATTAATATCAAACAGCAATGCAACTACACTTTCAAAGAGGATCTTCATGCAAACCAGCACAGAGATTACATTGTTTAAAAAAAAAAGATAAAGAAAAGGAATTGGGCTGATGGAACAGAGGGACACTGACATTTACACAGCAGCACTACAAAAATAAGTCCTTGCTTTGTTTCATTTGATTTTTTCTGATTCTTTCTTGAACAAATCCTACAAACAAAGCGTTTATTTTTTATGTTAATGAGTTTTGATGACATGCAGTACACCTTTGATGAGTAACAACACAAAAGTAAAGCGAAAATAAAGTTATTTAACCCAAAACAAAACGTTTATTTTGTCAAAAGTTATTTTAGAATATTGTTTATATTTTAGTCATTTTTATTTATTATTATTAGAATGTTTGTTTAACCTGTTAACTGGCACCCCCCTTTTTTTTTGCATAGACATAAAAATCACTATCCAAACTTAAATGGTTGTAATTCAGGAATGCTTTGGAATATAGACCTATGGCTGGTCTTGTTTTAAAGAAGACATTTTCCAGATTATTGTAGAAGTCTAGAAATTGTAAAAAATGAAACAGAAAAAAAGTTATATAAGTTTGAGTTTATGAAATTGTGTAATGTAAAAATATAATGATTAATATTTTATATAAAATATATATATTACAAAATATATTTTACTCTAAAACTGCAAGAAAATTAAAGTCAAATATCTGAACAAGTTGTATTCCAAATTTTAGGTTGATATCTCAAAAAATGAGCTTTCAGTAAGATTTTATTCGGGCGCAGTACCCAACTTTTTCACTAGGTGAACACCAGACTCCATTACTGCCCATATAAGGGCGCCTCCATTTTCATATGTTTTGAGTGATCTGAACCATGTATTTCCATAATTTTCATACAATTTATGAAGTAGACATCCTATTCAGAAGTAGTATGGGTGGTTTGGCAGTATTTGATTTGAATTAAACCTCTAATAAATGCATAAAGACTACGTTATAGCGTTATAGCTCGCAGCCGCATTACAAATTGAGAATCCATACATTTTTCTTTATATTTAAAACATTTTCAGACCTTTTTTTCTCATAAAATGGAATTGGTGTTATCTTTTGAACTCATGGCATGAAAACAAACTGAGGTTTCTACCAATCTTTCATGATTTTTCATGTTTATTGTTATTTCAAAATAAAGGCCTAAATACTCCTAATGAATATGAAATATTCTTGTTGCAAATTGATAAATTTCTGCTCCTCTGTAATATATTTTAGATAACAGCCACCAAATATGAAAACTAGAGATTTTAAGCTTTCAAATGATATATAGTTTGGCAATATTACTTTAGGTTTTTACTAAGATATTATTGTTTTAAACATGCAATGGCAAATGGGATTAAGTTAAGTTATTTTAGAATATTGTTTATATTTTAGAGTCATTTTTATTTATTATTATTAGAATGTTTGTTTCCTCAAATGTTCGATAGTTATGTCACACTGTCCAATATCCAGTCAAATTTTGAGTATTTAATTTAGTAATATGTTGCTTTCGTTGGGCTAAACTAATGTTTATTCAGTCGTAATAAATGATGTTTCTGTTAATTTAGATGTTACCATAACCTTTACAGTGTAGACACACTACATTCACACTGCTGCAATAATTGGATTGGCTTAACACAGCATTACCTGCATATTTCATTGTGATGGTTTGATGACATAACATCATAACTGCTTTACACATGTATTTTAATAGATATGCCTCTGCTTCTCCAGTGACATGCACACAGCAGTCTCTCACGTGACAATCCTTGCTTGGAAAATGTGCAAGCTAATATGGAAATCAATTAGAGAGATGCAATTCATAGAGCAAATTATGTTTGTGTACAATTTGTATTCGTCAGTGGCATTAGCATTGATAGAGTGATCAATGTTTAGTAATAAGTCTGCATGTGAAACGAGGTTGGAGTGTAGGCTGAAACTAGGAGAAAGATATCAATTAACAGCCTCTGCAAAAGTTCAGCAGCAAGAGCTGAGACTGCAATATCCTGATTCTAGTTCATTAACTAAACACTGCCCATAGAATGCAAAATAATTACTGCAAACCACCAGCCAGATAAGGTGAATACGTTCATGATATTGTAATAGAGGATTCTTACGTTTGAGATAATCAGTGTTATGATAGAATAATGTGGAGCTTTAACATAGAGCTTGAAATAGATTGCATCTGTAAAATTAAATATGCATTTTTTGATTAAACCGTAAACTGCATAAAAATGGTGGCATAAGGGTGGTGTAAGTTTTTTATAGGCCTATACTTTGTCATAGAACTGCACTGTATAACAACTGGATGGATGGATGGATGATGTAATTACATTGTCAATCACAACACATTTGCCATAATATATATCCCTTGTTTGTGAATTATTAGCTTTAGGGATTATGACCCCACTAATAGCCTATGTGTGTGTGTAATATATATATATATATATATATATATATATATATATATATATATATATATATATATATATATATATATATATATATATAACTCTGCCGAAAGTTGTTAAATAAATCTCACTCACATACTAATTAATTTAGGTAGTTTGTTGCCTTCATGTGCCTGTTGATAACTTTCTATTCATCGAATGACCACTAGTGTTCGCTATTTAGCCTGGTTTAAAATGAATCCTTGCCATTTCTGACTTGGATGACTAAATGACACGGAATTATGACTTATTTTTTATTTTATTTTTTATTAGCAGAAATGAGATTACAACAGATGAACTAACAGGCCAACGACTCAATATTGATACGACGATTTTGTATTTTTTTTGTATTTTTTTATAAATAGGGTACAAAATTCTCAGCAAAAGTAAAGAAACCATCTCGATAGAAAACAACAAAATAGCCTGTTTGAGTAAAAAGCACTCTCGCATCAAAACAGCGCGATACGTACCTGAAAAATACAATAGTTTCCCACAAATAAATCCCGAGTGCGAACATTGTGTCAGGTTGGAGATGAGTAGATGTAGTCACAGCTCAGAGCACCATACAATTCCTTCTTCTCTCACTTCTGAGGTGCACAATTCGTCCTTTGCTTGTTTCAGATTCCCAGAAAGGCCAAACAAATCTCAAGAGCATACAGACGAGCTGGTCATTTTCCCGACAGCGGCTGTGTAGGTGAAGCGGAGGAGCTCCTGTTTCATACGGGTTGCGGAATTTCAGGTGGAAGCAGCGCTGTGGAAAAAACTCGATGAGATAAATTCAGATGTTCATTCCGGACGATCCATAGCAGCATTAGATGCGTAGTCGCCGAGGATATCTAAAGACGCTCCATCGCAAACATTTTAAACAAACGAAACTACACACTAAATCTCCTCACAGTGTTGGAATGCCACCAAAGTCATTGGGAAAATATACATACGCGTCTGCTCTTTTCCTCCGCGCTTCTTTTTGCATGCATCCCAGTGAAGAAATGTGTCGCTTTCGAGCCACACGTTAGTTTTTGCTACCTCTGGCTGAGGTAGTCTGATTTAGTACGTACTTGTTTCCCTGGGGTGAATTGTCAGTGCTGCATGAAGCTACTTCCATTGTCTGGTCCAGTTAAGAAACGCTGCTCATTTTTTTGTTTCAATGTTTTTCTTGAATCCTCGTCAGAAAAGCCCAAACGCTGATATTTCAGCACACAGGGTCTGTTCCATCGCTCAGAAGCCCCCCAGCCCCACAGTATTTCTTGCTGCAGTCATTTACTAAACTCAAAAAGCACCTCACACTCTCTCAACACACGCCCACATGCTGCTGTCATTGGTCTGAATGGCACTCCAGACAAATGCCTCCTCCACGGATTGGAGATGGGCATTTATTGCTATATGTTGGACTTCGAGGGCTACGCTGTTTTTGGGCAATTTTTATTTTTATTGTTTATGTATGGCACAGTTTTCAGAAACATGCTACAAAAGGACATTGTATGGCAGAGAGCTGCAGTGCCTAACTCCATTCAAGCCACTGGGGCATTTCTGACCAACCAGCTTTGATAACTGTGTTTATTAGATTTTCGAGGAGATACTGTACCCAAAAAGAAAGTTTTTTTTTTTTTACACAATTGCTACTTTGTCCTAAAAGGTAACACTTTGCAATAGGTTTTAATTTGTTAACATTGACTCTAGTTAAAGGGATATAGCTCACCCATAAATGTGATTCTGTCATCATTTACTCACCCTCAAGTTGTTCCAAACCTGTACAGTATAAGTTTTTTTTTCTTCTGCTGAACACAAAAGAAGATATTTTGAAGAATATGTAACCAAACAGACTTCCATGGTATATAAAAATAATAATAATGGAAGTCAATGGTGCCCCACAACTGTTTGGCTACAAACATTCTTCAAAATATTTTATTTTGTGTTCAGCGGAAAAAAGAAATTCATACAGGTTTGGAACAACTTGAGGGTGAGTAAATGATGACAGAATATTATGAACCATCCCTTTAAAATGAACAAGCAATACTTTTACAGCATTATTAACATCATTATTCATTCCTTAACCATTGTTGCCCATAAAAAGATACAGTTAATTCAACTTGTGTATGGCATTTTGTCAGACAATATAAGTTGCCACAATGTAATCATCAATTAAATAGCATATTATAGGTTTTTCAGAAAAAATTTAAATAAAACAAGTTATAAAACAAAAAATGTGAAGAAATGTGGTAGCCTATGAATACACAAAAATATACCTTGTACTTGTATTTTAAACACAACTTGCATGCCTGAATGCACTGAACCTTTTTATGTTCAAATATGCCTTTATTAAATCGTCCTATTGGTTACCCTTTATTTCGATAGTCCACTTTAGACATTCAAGTAACTTTGCAACTACATGTCAACTAACTCTATAGTATTACAGGCTGTAGTAAACTGTCAGTAGACTATTAGGTTATGGTTAGGTGTTAGGGTTTGGGTTAGGAGAATAAGTTGACTTGTAGTTGCCAAGTTACTTATAGTTAGAATGGGGACCAACACAATAAAGTGTTAGCAGATATTAAGCAGAAAGTCTACTAATCCTCTAATGACAGTTGACATGTAGCTGCAAAGTTACTTATAGTTAGTATGAAAAGCTAAAAATCAGTATGATGTTATTATAAGTTTAGTTTAGAAGACAGATTTGAAAAAAAAAATCGGTCTAATTTCAAATTGTTTCGAACTTGGCAATTGTAAAGAAATCACAAACCCTTTGCTAGAGAAAACACACATTGGTGTAATTTGACTTATGAGTCAAAACCGTATAGTTACTGAGAAATATCCCATGTGACAACTAGCCCCGGCCGCCCCTTCGTCATTCTTGAAACACACATCAGGAGTGAAGTTTACTGCAGTTGGGTTTCATAGGTCTGTCCTGCTCAATGTCACTTCACTGCAGGCATAATAACAAGCAAAATGTTTGCCAGTGCAAAGCCGCAAGTGAAAAAAAACAACAACAAAAACATGACGTAATCATAACAAACATATGTTTCGAATAAACACTGCAGCATCCATGTAGTTCAAGTCTTTCTACCATTGGATGAGATATGTACATGATAATGGAATACCCTCTTGTTTTTATAAAAAGATTAAATATCAAATATTTATTAAATAAGCCATTGTTATATCTCAAATCTATTATATTATTGTATTTATCTGTTTAAGCGTTCACTTGCAGTTTGAATCTGTGATCAATTACAGTTGTACTTGTATTGTTTTTACAGAACCGTGACTCTGATGCTCTGTATATCTCTGTCAAACTCTATTACACCTTGACAGCTCTAATATTTCATGATGAATAAAGAGCCTAGAAATTCAGTTCAATTTTGTTATCCGTGACAACACAAACAGAACAGAAAGAAGTGATTAAAGATATCTAAGCAGCTGAGACTAGGGGTAGATTCACCCGTTCTGCATTGTTCCCCTGCACTGCCGTTGTTGTAAGTGGGCCAAAACACTGACAGAATTGAATAATGTCACTTCTGACTGCTTTGAATATAAGTATATTCAAATCTTTGAAAAAGAGTTTAAGATTAAAAAGTTATTTACCATTAAAAAACTGTGAACACAAGCATTACGCTGAACAAGCTGACGGAATGACAGGACTAATCGAAGAAAACACAACTATAAAACATTTATTTCCATTCACATGTCTGTGTTGTAGATCACATATGATAAAATAACTTTTTTTTCCCCACTTGACCTTTATCTATCCATAAAAGACAAATCATATAACACAATAGTCGGATATCAGTGAAGAAGAAATGCTAATGTATTGTCTAAAATCTATCTAAGGAACTAAATTAACATATCTGATTCTTCTCTAATAAGAAAATGCTCCTAATTTAATCCAGTTGGTTTCAGTGTGACGGATGTCGATTTTCAATGGTGCTATGCAACAAAGCACCGCCATTTATTGTTCAGGCACAGACACATCTCACATCTCCATCAGCGGGAGGTGAATGAGCTGACTGAATCATCTCAGTATTTCCCAATCCACGGGCCACGGAGTACCCCAACACCGCACATTTAGTTTCAATGTCTCTCTTATGTAATGTAACTGGGCAGGCATACAGTATGAAATTATTTTATGTACATTAGAAATGAAATTTCTGTATGCACTACTATATCTTCTGATTTTTAACCTCTATTATCTTTGAAAGTTACAGCATGTAATGGTTTTATTGTTAGAAAAAAAAAGTACACCATGGTCTGTCTGAATACTCGATTCTGATTGGCTGTAAGGCTTGCAATAAAGCCGTTTAGTCAGTTTAATAACCATTCTACAGACCTTATGCGCCAGAGAAACAAGAGCGCAGCCATCTTTAGAATTTTGTGTTTGAACTTCTGTTTTTGCTGTAATGAAAGTTATCATGAGCTCTAATGTTTGAAGCGGGTGTCATCAGGAAGATTTTAAAGGAACACTCCGACTTTTTGGGACTTTAGCCTATTCACCTTATCCCCCAGAGTTAGATAAGTCCATACATACCTTTTTCATCTCCGTGCGTGCTATAAGTCTGTTTGACGCACCCACCGCTAGCCTAGCTTAGCACAAAGACTGGATGTAAATGGTTGCAGCTAGCATACTAATCCAAATTAGTGACAAAATAACGCAAACATTTTCCTATTTACATGTTGTGATTTGTATAGTCACAGAGTGTACAAAAAACAAAGTCACATGAGACACAGACATATTTTAACCGTACAAATACTGGGAACTATATTCTCTGAAGGCGAAGCACTGCTACTTGGGCGGAGTGATAACCGCAGCACCTGAGACGAGCCGTGGTGAGGAGCAGAGAGCGCGTCTCAGGTGCTGCGGTTATCTTTCCGCCCAAGTAGCAGTGCTTCGCCTTCAGAGAATATAGTTCCCAGTATTTATACAGTTAAAATATATCTGTGTCTCATGTGACTTTGTTTTTTGTACACTCTGTGACTATACAAATCACAACATGTAAATAGGAAAATGTTTGCGTTATTTTGTCACTTATTTGGATTAGTATGCTAGCTGCAACCATTTACATCCAGTCTTTGTGCTAAGCTAGGCTAGCGGTGGGTGCGTCAAACAGACTTATAGCACGCACGGAGATGAAAATGGACTTATCTAACTCTGGGGGATAAGGTGAATAGGCTAAAGTCCCAAAAAGTCGGAGTGTTCCTTTAAAACGAGCAGTTCATTCATAAATCCATAAGATCTTACATTTATGCTGTGGAGATATAAACCGTAAGAACGAACACAACGAGCACAGCGCTGAAATAAGGGACGGGGCATCTATATCATGCGCTGTTTTCATTGAAGCACACGCATACGGCACTCTGAGATCACGCTGCGCACACATATTCAGGAGGAGCACAGAATCTTGTTATCAACGCTACCCTGCGACTTTCATTAATAAAATAGCTTCGCTACTGAATCGCTACATTATATTTGTCATCAACGAAAGGGTAACATCGCTGGTTTTGAAGTAATTAAACTTACAGCTTCGCTGTAAGTAGACAGAAAGAGACGCTGAACAAACGCAAATAACCGTCATTTTTACCCGTCAAATATTGCTCTGCAAACATCAATAACAGCTTTGAGTTGTCAATGCTGGCAAATGACCATTGTATAAGCACGATAATCCACTGCTAGCTGTGCATTAAACGACCTGAATGCGCCCCTTCACGTCGGGTTTTTTTTTTTTGCCTCCACGTCGTGCATTAAAATCGTTTGATGCACAGCTACCTGTGGGTTATCCCTTTCTTATTATTTAGCTAGGATGCAATAAACTGACCAAACGTGACAGTAAAGTACAAAAGTAAAAAAGTCCATGTGTGCTTTTTTCCCCAAAAAAACTCCACCTCTTTGGACAAGACATAGTAAACAGTTACAAAATCACTACTGCACGTTCGTATCGTATTCAGGTCCAAATGCTCACATGGGTCCCAGGTTCGAATGTGATCTTTCTCCAGTCACTCTCCACTTTCTGAATAAAGGTATAAAAAGGCTCAAAAATATAGTAAAAAAAATTATTCACACAGTACGACCATAATGACACAAAATGACAGCACACTTTATTGGATAACAACAACAAACAGAAGACAAATAGAAGACTTCATACAATAACTACACCACACTACGCTACAAATAAATACAAATATATAATATAATGTATATATTGTAAATATAATAATCAATATATTAAATATATATATAAAAATATATAAAATTGATCTATCAAAAATAAATCAAAAATAATAAATAATAAATAAATAACCATTAAAAG